CAGCACAGCAAGTTGTCATCCAGCCCTCAAGTCAGCATTTGCCTTCCCTGTCACCCATTTCCCCCAGCAGACAGGTGAAGTGACAGGCAGAATGTTTATCCAAAAGGATATCTGCCAGCAGCTCAGGATCTGGAGCACATTCATATCACTCAGGGAGCTTTTAAAAACCCCAATGCTCAGGCTGCACCCCAACTTTTAGAATCTCTGGAGGTGAAACCCAGGCATCAGCAGTATTTAGCGCTCCTCCCAGGTGATTCCAATGAGCTGTGGAGAGGAGAGAAGGTAAGAAGCTTCCAGTGCAGGGGAACCTTTCCCTGGGGTTAGAGGAAACAGCTAAGCAGAATTGGAGTGGTTTTTGTCTTATTGTGTTACCCGTATGTCTAGCTCAGGTGGTATTAGTGTAAGGCTAGAACTGGAGTGGAGAAAGGACCAGAGGACCTGAACAGAAATTGCTCTTAGCTTCTAGATGCTTAGATTACCAGATAAATTCGTTGGAAGCCCGAAGCCTATTCCTGAAGTAGTGATGCAGGACAGGGCAAATTCCCCCAAATGCGGGGAGACTCAAGCCCTGCACTGAGAGAGAAGAGGTTTCTTAGCAGAGCATAAGAAAGAATTCAAACACACACCAGAGTTAGAGTCCAAGGAAAGCTTATTAGAGAAGGGGTAACAGAGTGTGGTCACCTTTCAGAGGCGGAGAGTGAGAGTCTAAGAGAGACTCAGAGGGACAGTGACAATAGAGAGAGGGACAGTGAGAGAAAGAATAAACTGAAAGGGAATTCGGTTTTTATATATCATTTTTTAGTTCCTGTGAGCTACAGTTTAAAGATATTGTTTACCTATTTCCTTTGATATGGACATATAGTGAGGAAGGATAAGAATATGTAGCCTGAATGGACTGCTGGCAGCTCCCAGCCCTTAATCCATAGGTTCTCTGTGGTTTTAGCCATAGAGAATGAATTATTTTCTTTTGTGTAGGGCTCCATTTCTCTTCAGGATGTGGGGAAGTGGGTTGTTAGCAATTCCAGCAGAAATCTTCCTTTTTCTTCAGGTTCTCTCGTGTTCTGGCTACAGAGTTGATCAGCATATTGCAGTCTCTGAATATTGCTTGATTTAACACTTTAGTTCTCTTGCCTCTTCCCTACATTAGAAGGACCCTTATTACAGTGAGGGGTGAGTGGCATCTGACCATTCTGCTGTCTTAATTAGGAAAGTGACCTTAGTAACCTGTCCAAGTCAGGCGCTGATTTGCGCCGGAGACATGGATGCGACTCACCCTCTCCTTCCCCCAGCTTCTCCCAGTTCTTTCATTGTCCTGTCCTCACAGGCTTTTCACTGGTTAGAGTCTTAGTGTTCTTTTTAATTGCCTCTGAGCCACTCAATTTTGTTGTTATGGGCTGAGCCCCCCGTGAGACTTGGACATGTTTGTCCCTATCTTCTTTCCTTGCCTGCTCTTCAGATCCCTTCCAGAACTACCTGTGCCTCTCGAAAAGACCCCATTGGACCTCAGAGAGCTTTTCATTTTTATTTGAATAGTTTGTCAGATCTTTTTTCTTTTGAAAAGTTTGAGATCTGTAGTCGTTACCACTGTGTGGAGATTATGGCCTAACTGTTCTAACCTGTTTAGTCCCAAAGTGGTGAGGGCTGCAGATCTTTGGGGGTGGGGGTGGGGGTGGGGGAGTCAGGCATGAGTGCTGCTGGGATGTGGCCTGAGCAACTCAGGGCTTTGAAGGGGAGGTCCACCTGTATGCACAATTAATGAGGTATGTGCTGAATTAATGAGGGGCTACAGGAGTTGTGCATGACACTGTATCTCATGTGTATATATTATTTTTTGTTATGAATACAAAAAAAAAAGAATGTGGATCACATCCATAAAGCAGAACTAGCAATCGATATGCTAATTAGGATCACATTTGCACATCTGTTAGTAATTAACGTACTAAAGGTTATAGTTTTACATTTTTTAATATGTATAAATTTATAGAAAATTCCTTCATTCTTTCAACATATATTTGTTGAGAATTTATACTAAGCACTGACTAAGACAAGTTAAGATCTTAACTTGTCATTATTGGCTTTCCACTCATTCATTAAATAAATATTTATTGAGAACTTATTATGTATACTAGGTATCGTGAACAAATCAGCCAAAAATCTCTACTGTCATAGAGAAATCCATCATTATTTTGTTAATATTCCAACAATAAACAAGCAAAATGTATGGTATGTCAGTAGAGTCACCAACCGTGCCTGGGACTATGGGATTTTCCAGGACATAGAACTTTCAGTGATAAAACCGGGATGGTCTCAGGCAAACCAAGATGGTTTTTCACAAAACTGTCGAGTAGATAGGTGCTGTATGGAAAATTAAAGTACGGAAGGGGAATGGGGAGAGCCAGTTGCAGGGATAGGAGTGCAAATATAGACAGGTGGTCAAGGCAGCCCTCACTGAGAAGATAACATTTGAATAAAGACCTAAAGAAAGTGAGAGAGAAAGCCATGCAGAAATCTAGAGGAAAAATATTCCAGATAGAAGGAACAGCAAATGCAAAGGCACTGATGTGGGAGCCTGTCTAGAACACTCAAGGAACAACAAAGATACTAGTGTGGCTAGTGGGAGAGTAGTGGAGATGAGGTTAGGGAGGTCATGGGTGACCTTGACAAGAGCGTGGTGAGGACTATGGAGTATTGTGGGGGCGGGACAATGGATCAGTGGGGACAAAAGTCTGACTGGAGTAGAGAAGGGGGTGGGGAGAAGAATTGGAGACAGCAGGTGTAAATACTCTTCCAAGCAGTTTGCCATAAAGCAGGCAGAGAAATGGAACAGAGCTGGAGAGGGATTGTTGATGGAAAAGAAAGAAAGTGTATGCTAGGTGAGATGTCAAGGGGTCCAGGTGACAAGTGGAGTTGGATGTGGAAGTTCATCCACAGTAATAGGAAGGAAGTTTCAATATATGGGCACAGATTCTGGTGGTTGGAGTTTGCATAGATTCTAGTTGTTTCTGTTTCTCAGTAAAATGGAAATGAAGTCTTTAGCTGAGACTGAGCAGGAGGAAGTGGACATTTGAGGAGAGAGGAGGCATGATATAATATTCATTTAGAAGAATGAGACAGTAAATTGATTAGAGAAATGTAGTATAATTGCCAGGTGCACTAAGGGCTGACTTGAATTTAACTGAGACCTGTCAGCAAGGATGTGTGTGTATGGGCATGCGTGTGCATGTGTGGGTTTTTTTCCAGTCCCATTCAGCTGCCAGGTACAAGAAATGCATAAGCTAAGAACTGGTTTTAGCCAGGGTTGAGGTTTTATCAGGCAACAAAGTAAGGTGAGGGTCAAGGGAGTTGAGCATGTACGGAAGAACGTGATTTTAATGATTGGCAATAAAATATTTTTCCAATT